AGGTCACCCAGCAGCTGCATGTGGAGGAGCGGAGACGCGAACCTGGTTCACCAGATTACGAGTCCACCGCTCTTAACCACTACACCACGACCACGCTGGCTCTCTTAGACGTTGTTGTTTTAGAAGAATGGAGGCAGCACGCAGCCCTCTCAGACTGCCTTGTATTTTTGAAAAATAAATAATAATTAATAAATCTGTGTTTCCCCGTTAAAAATCTGCCTGGATAGGATGGACTTAGACCTTTTCACTCAGGGGGAACAGGGGTGGACCCATCCTTAATGGGTCCAACTTTCCCTGGTGGGAACCAGAGAAAGGATGTGGAGCATCACTGCTCAGCTATATGGAGCATGCAACACAGGATATAGTAATTTTAAAATAAGAAACAGAGAAATGAAAATGATTGTTATGACTAAAGGCATCACATAATATATCCAGACTCCGCAGGCAGGTAATCAAATAAGCAAACCATCTTGCAGCATAAACACATGCCAGAATGCAATAAAAATCTAAATTACAATGCACATAAATTCAAGATCAGCCACTAATATTAAATTGTGATCATTTGGGAGGGAAGGAGGGACTTGAACATTAGGAGAGTTTTCTACCCATTTCTAACACACAATTGTGGTCAAGTCTGCTGCTGCACTGATGCCATGCCACATATCACATCGCAGTATTGCTGAGCAATACTTTGAGCAGGGCATCCAGCAATACTTGCGCAGGGCATCCAGCAACCAATCTGGCTGGTTGAGCATTATAGTGCAAGGAGTACTAATACTGCCTCATCTGGTTTATCTTAAGCAAAAAGGCCACTCTGGCAAAAGCATCAGAGAAGGCTGGTAATTGTCCATTAGAGGGAGATAAACTACCTGATGACTAATCTCTGGAAACACAAGCTGCAGAGCTCTCACAGCAGGAAGATGAAACTGGAGGACCCTGTGTGTTTGTTTGTTTGTTTGTTTGTTTGGAGATGGCTAGTAGCAGTGGCAGCAGGTTTCAGAGAAATTCTGCACTGATGAACAAGCTTAGGATCGTCCTACTGTCCTGCAGTAAAGCTTTGAAGCACATTCTTGCGGTGAAGAGAATTCATTTCTACCCAAGCTCCAGATCAGGGATTCCACTGAACAACTCTCAACACTCACCTAGGCCTATCAAGTTCTTTGGTCTCAGCAAATGCTCACCATAAAAAGGAGCAGCCTCCTAGTGCTATGCCTCATCATCTTCCCTGGAACGTAACCCTCGGCCTATGCCCCTGATATGCCTTCCTGGTGCCTGATCTGCAGTTTAGCTTTGACTATGCCCTTGGCCTCTTGAAACCTGAGCTGCTTCTTCAGTCTCGACCTTGACTATATCCTTCTCTTGGTATCCAATGATCAAGATACGATACGATACAATACAATACAATACAATACGATAATCTTTATTGTCATTGTCCCATATAGAACAATGAAATTGAAAAGAATCTACATCAGACATTCAAAAACCAACACGCCTGCTATCCCAGCTATCCCAGCCTGGTTAACCCCCTAAAAACTCTGATAACCCATAATGAAATACAATATACTCCTGTAGAGACTACCTTCTACTGCATTTAAAACCAAAATCACATTTGAATAAAAACTGTTTCTCAGGCGGCTAGTCCTAGTCTTTATAACTCTGTACCTTCTTCCAGAAGGCAGAAGCTGAAAGCGATCATTTCCGGGGTGTGCACTATCCTGCACTATCTCTGCAGCTTTCTTATGGCACCTGGAAGCATAGATTTGATCCAAGGTGGGAAGGGTGCACCCAATTATTCTCTCCGCAGTCTTTACAACCCTAGACAGCATTGGTTTTCCCCTGACCGTGCAGCTCCCAAACCACACGCACACAGACCATAAGTTAATACACTCTCAACAGTACAATGGTAAAATGCCATCAACAGGTCCTCTGAGAGGTTATTTTTCTGCAGGATTCTCAGAAAATATAGCCTCTGCTGTGCTCTCTTCATCAGGTCTTTACAGTTTTCTCCCCAGGTTAGGTCATCTCTCAACTCCATCCCCAGGATCAAGCCCTAGCTAAGGTCTGACAGTAATACAGGGCTAGAAGGCTGATGTGTCCGTGCAAATTAGTATAGGGTTCTCCCAAGAGAGGAGTTAAATGAGCTCAAACGGCAATAGGAAGTTATGAGAACCTTCTTCCACCTTCTGCATTAGGAAGTTTCGTCTACATAAGCTACATCAACTATAAAGGCATGCTAGCCAGTTCCTGTGGGCGACACAATTCAAGAGGTGCCCGTCATGTCAAAAGAAGCATATAAGGTCAGCTAATAAGCTCTTTCCAGTTTGGTCAGCCATCTCACTATGCAAAACAACCATGCGGCCCAGCATACTTTGAGACATCGCAAATAATTACTGGCCACATGCTTAGTTTATGTGAGAAGCAGGTCTTGCTAGAAGCAGAGGGAAGCTCCAGACTTGGCCTGTCAGTCAACCACACACCCAGGGCAGTGAAAAATCTCTGGAGGTGGCCTCGCCTATAAGCATGCATATAATTAAATCTTGTGCATGCCAACATCACGGCATAGTCAAGCACCTATTTTGTTTGTTTGTTTGTTTCTGATGTAGAAAGCTCTTCTGTTGTTTGGAAGTAATGTCAAGACCCCATAACATCATCTCTTTTCCGTCTATTGGAGGAAATTCACTAAGTACCTCTTCCATAACAACCCCACTAGAATGAAAGAAAGCACAAAAGCATTTCATCATCTGGCTTGTTAAAATATCCTGATTAATAGGACTGTATATATTTTTCTTTTTTTTAATAATTATTATTATTAATTTTAACATATAAATTATAATACATACCACAAAACTTCACCACTTATGCAATTTTTTTTTAGACTTCCATCAGCACCTCTGATGATCCACTGTTTTAACCACTTCTTATGCATTTCTTAAATTCATATTGCCTTTAATTATCTTAACTAACCATCCTCCCCCTTTATCCATTTTTGCAATACTTCCAATAATTCACCTCACAAAACTTCTTGCAAACCTACAAACGTAGTTTGATCATCACAATTACAGGACTGTATATTTCTTTTCATGGCAAGGACAGCTTACAACGTTGCTTCCCCATATGAGTAAATACACCAGGCCTGCGTGACTTCCAAGCCAAATGTAGACTACCAGCCATTATGAAGACCGACTAATAATTCAATGATCCTCTTTGGTATGGAAATGCAAAAACAGTGACGCCCTACTCCATCAAAAGTCATACATGCCTACGATAACTTTTACACCGAGGCTTTAGTCTCATGAACTGTCATGCACATTAAATCTGATAAAAATGAATGAGGTATAATTAAATGTATTTAACTATAAGCAGAATCAAGTACCTACATTTCCCTTTCCTTTTTGCCAGTGGCATATCCACATATTGAACATTAAATAGGCTTATATAGTGGTACCTCAGGTTACATACACTTCAGGTTACACACTCCACTAAGCCAGAAATAGTGCTTCAGGTTAAGAACTTTGCTTCAGGATAAGAACAGAAATTGGGCTCCGGCGGCGCGGCGGCAGGAGGCGGCCCCATTAGCTAAAGTGGTGCTTCAGGTTAAGAACAGTTTCAGGTTAAGTACAGACCTCCGGAACAAATTAAGTACTTAACCTGAGGTACCACTGTACTGTTTTCTAAGATAGTCAGACACACAAAAAGGGACAGGGCTCTTGCAATGTTTAATACTTGAATAGAAGCAGGACTTCTTGCATTGATTGCATGAAGACTATTAAAGAGGCAGGAGCCCCAGTTTCTTCTGCAATCTGGCACCCTCTATTTCTTCCCAATACAAAATAGCTTATTCAGAATCAGAATTTTCTTCAGGGCTTAGCAGGAGAGGAAAGAGTTAGATTCCCTCCCCATGCCTGTCCTGATTCACCCCCCCCCCCCGGGATGCAATTTGTGTGAGTGTGCAAAAAACACATTTAACGACACATGCAGTTTGGCCCTTTTTCTGGCCTGCAGAAATGTAATTTCCTGGTTGCCCCTCAGTGGTTCTCTGCTGGCTCCCTTTCCCCAGTGGTGGCGCCTAGCTGCCTCCTCGTGGAGTTGCCTTCAGCTGAAACTCGGCTTGGCAGCTTAAAGGTACCACAAGCCAACTGCCTGGAGCTGAGCAGGTGGAAGGTCAGGTTGTGTTGCCAACACTCTGCAGACGTTCCCAGCACCGGTGCCACCCAGGATAAAAATGCTGGTTCCTATCTCAGCTACGTCTGCATCTTGGAAGGTGATCAAACCACCTGATCCTTCCCTACTCCTAAAAGCCCCTTGTGAAATTAACTTCGCAGAGTCGTCTTGTATTCGTTCAGAACTGTCACGCTGACAAGGCACAGGCAGATAATATGTGCATGTATTGATGGCATGAACAAATGCAGGAATGTGTAACAACAACAACAACAACTTATTATTTATACACCACCCATCTGTCTGGGTTTCCCCAGCCACTCTGGGCGATTCCCAACGGAGTATTAAAAACACGATCAAACATCAAACATTTAAAACTTCCCTAAACGTAATGATTCTACAGCCCTGGTGTAGCATAGAAAAGGTAAAGGTAAAGGTACCCCTGCCCGTACGGGCCAGTCTTGCCAGACTCTAGGGTTGTGCGCTCATCTCACTCTAGAGGCTGGGAGCCAGCGCTGTCTGCAGACACTTCCGGGTCATGTAGCCAGCGTGACAAGCTGCATCTGGCGAGCCAGCGCAGCACACGGAAACGCCATTTACCTTCCCGCTGGTAAGCGGTCCCTATTTATCTACTTGCACCTGGGGGTGCTTTCAAACTGCTAGGTTGGCAGGCGCTGGGACCGAACGATGGGAGCGCACCCCGCTGCGGGGATTCCAACCGCCGACCATACGATCGGCAAGTCCTAGGCGCTGAGGTTTTACCCACAGTGCCACCCGCGTCCCACTGGTGTAGCATAGTAGTTCATAGAATTGTAGAAATGGAAGGATCCTCTAGTCCAGTCCTCTGCAAAGCAGGATTTGTTTGCCCAACTGCACTGGAACCCATGGCCCTGAGATTAGGAGTCTCATGCTCTACTGACTGAGCTATCTCAGCTTAATAGCCTGATGAGTGCAATTCTATACACGTCTACTCAGAAATAAACTCAGTTGTGGTCAGTGGGACCTGGTCCTGAGTGGGTTTATAAAATCACAGAGATTAACACCGCAATCCCACGCTGTACCTTGGAATTAAGTCTCATACTAGGGCTTACTTTGGAGGACGCATGGACATGCTGCAGTTCCATACACACGCTGAAGTTCTAAGCACACAGGAACTTATTTCTGAGTAAATAAGCATTGGACAATTCCAGGCTGTGCAAGGGCCAGTCCATCAATGTTTAACGAGCAGAGACCTATTCATGCAAAATTGTGTTGGGCTCTGGCACCTTCAATAGTTGTGTGGAAGGGGAGATTTTGGTAGCCTGTTCCTGCTAACTTCCCCGTTATGCACAACTGTTAAAGGTGCCAGAGTGCTGCAATCTTTTGGATCTGGCTATTAGTTGAACAAATATTGCTGCTCTATAAAGGGTTATACTTTATATACTTATACTTTCCCTCCTAGGTGCTATTATTATTATTATTATTATTACTATTATTATTATTATAATTATTATTATTACAGTTTTCCTAGGTGCTGAATAGAGATGAATAATCTTCCTTTTCTTTTAACATTGATTTTTGTTTACTATTTCAATATATACTTCTTTATAAGCCACTAAGAGCTTTTATTTACCGTTCAGCAGCATACAGTTTTTAAAATGAATTAAACTAACAAACAATTGCCCCAAGCTTTGGGAGGGTCTACTTTGAAAAATTAAATCTCTCCCATTTGCATTCACAAAAGTTAAAATGCACCATGTGGATTTGGGTGAAAATATGTCAAACAAAAAAATGGGGAGGGAAGATGAGGCAACGTTTAGCCCATCTTCAAGAATTTTTAAACAATGGTTTTTAGATTTATCCCAACCATAGCTTCTCGATGTGCAAAGATTAAATGCGCCGTCATCTGTAACTAAGCTGCTTTGGAATGATCTGTATCCTCAAAGACAAGATACAAATAATCATAATAAATAATGTTAAATAAAGCAAGGCTGTATCAGATCTGGCATTAAACTGTAGTGTGAACCCAGGCAAAAGAATTCTGTGAGGGAGGGAGCCTATGTCCTATTCCAGTAGCTTTTCCTATCCTGTGTTAGACCCCTAGGTGGCGCAGGTGAGTTTCCACAGAAGGGAAACCCATTATTTTCGCAGTTTTCAGATCTATCAAACTCAAAGGAAAGCCACTCAGGGGAAAGTTGCGGGGAAGTCCTCTGAGACTGCAAAGTAAGTGTAGGACAAGCGAAGCACAGGGTACATGGTCGCCCTTTATGGACAGCAGTAGGTCTTGGAACACCCATGAGATGTGGTCCACCCAACTGCCTTGCAGCATCTGATGGTGTGATGCCCATAGGCAACTGCAAAAAGCGCCGCAGTAGCTCGAAACTGGATATTGTCAGCGTTTTAGTGACAGACTGCTTGCTTGGCTGGATTTCGGCTTTGTTCTTTAATTCTGCGCAAGGTAAGATTTTTTTCCCATAAGAAATTTATGTTCGGGGAAGCTAGATACTCTTTGTGGCGGCGATCGGGATACAGCGATCAAAATACTGTTTTCAAAATACTTGTCATTTTTAATATTTCGCGAGAAGTGCCTCCGCTCATGGGATGTGCTGAAAGCCCTGGATTCCACATTTTTATCCCCCCACCCCCATATCTCTTCCAAACAACTATGTGCACGTTCTCCATTGAGGATTCAAAGCGTGATGTTTCCTTGTGTTTCTTTGTATTGCCCGTGTAATACAGCATGGAGCATATATCCAAGAAGTTGGGTTTTTGCTATATGGCTGTTTGTAACAATGGGCAACAATAAGCTTTGATAGGTGGTTGTTTGTTTGTTTTTTGGCATTTTAGAGTTTGTGCTTGGAGATTGCAGCTTCGTTACTTGAGTTGTACAGAATACCAGCAATATGTTTATAACTTATACGCTGACGGGAACAAAGAATATTACTGCAAGGCACCTCAGCACCCGCTGGGATGAGGTTGATTGAATGTGGGGAATTACATACCTGTAAATACAAGTTTAGGAGCATGTACGGTTTTGTTTCCAGGAGAAAGTTTTCTCAATATTGCTAGAGCAACAGGGAACCCAAGCACTAGAAAGAAAATGATTGCATTCTGCTAGATCTTTAAGCATGTTCTTTAGCATTTCTGACCAGCAGTGGAAAGGTACATGGAGACATCCGTGAGTTCCACGGAATGCTGTTTTTACAGCCATACAGACAGAAACATTTAATGGATCTGTTCCTTGCATGATTAAACTGGATCTGCTCCTCAGCTGTCTTAAAATCTGCAATAATCTCTTGAAACCAAAGCTGATTTGCACTGTGCAAGAAAGTAAGAGATGTGCAGACTAAGAGCCCATCTAATCATCCTTTGGCCAGCAGTGGTCACTACATTCCTGCAAATGGATAGGACAAGCACAGACAGCCGTTGGCTCTCCATTTCCATCGTTTGCTAAATGGCATAGGAGCATCTTTAACACGAGGATCAAGGCCTGAAGGCATAGGACATACCTCCCTCCATTGGGTGGAACACAGTCTTTGCTCACCTGAGTTTTGTAAGCACGCCCTGACCGCTTTGTCAGTTACTGATATTCCTGTGTTTCATTCCTGCTCAACTATATAAAATTAGCTTTCCTTGTTTTTCGTGGCAGTGTGATTCCGCAAGGATCAACTCTTCGAACTGCCTTCTCAAAGGCATCAACCAATGTAATTTCCTGCTAAAAAGCAGGGTGGTCCCTGCCTCTGCTGCAACCTGCTGCCCCCATCAAGCTATGCAGAGAGAAGAGCACACCACGTGAAACGTCAGGTCAAGTGAATAGCTGCTGATGCAAGCTAGCCAGCCATGCGCTGAATGCACTAATCCAGGGGTCAGCAAACTTTTTCAGCAGGGGGCAGGTCCACTGTCCATCAGACCTTGTGGGGGGCCAGACTATATTTTTTGGAGGGGAAATGAATGCCCCGCAAATAACCCAGACATGCATTTTAAATAAAAGCACACATTCTGCTCATGTAAAAACACCAGGCAGGCCCCACAAATAACCCAGAGATGCTTTTTAAATAAAAGGACACATTCTACTCATGTAAAAACATGCTGATTCTTGGACCGTCCACAGGCTGGATTTAGAAGGCCATTGGGCCAGATCCGGTCCCCGGGCCTTAGTTTGCTTACCCATTCACTAATCCCTCTGGTCACTAACCAGTCTAATACAGCAGGCAGTTCCTTCCCCATCCCAGTGCGGTCAGACCCTGACCATTAAGAAAACCCTCTCATCCTTACTAAGTCATCCAGTCAACATCTTGCCTTTTGGCCAATTTTTCTTCCTTTTCAATTTTTTTATTTATTTTTTACAAATTAACATCAAATTTGTTGGTGTGACAGTATCTCACATACTTCCAAGGATGATGGGGAGCAACAATTTCACATGTGGGGAAGGAGCCCTTTCTAAATTTTACGGGCTGGATTTTTTCTTCTGTGTTCTCCCGTGCTAATACTTTGATATTTCAGTTCCTGCAGTATACGATACATATTGCAGGGACTAAAATATGAATTATATATGCCCTTAAATTCCCTTCTCAACCGTTGGATGCTGTGTGAACCCACTGTTGCTGCTGCTAAAACTATCCCAATATTTTATGACCATGCTATGTTTTATTGCTGCTATTATGCATGGCAATAAAACAAAATCTGTATCTCTGTCAACATCTATGCAGTTTTTTCTTCCCTCCTTACTTTCATAAGCTGGAGGAGTCTAACTTTCTAGTCTCTCAGTGCAGGCGTGCCAATTCTATGGGGCTGAGGCGTCTACAGCCCCCCGCCCATGTCTGTCTGGATGGGGCTCAGCCCCCTCCTATCTTGAGGGGGCAGAGAAGGCCTGGCGGGATGTTGCCCTGGGTTGCACAGTGTCAGGAGAGATGCGCAGACCAGTGCGGCCTGGCACACAAATATTACATTGAGAAGATGCCTGGTCGGCACTTCTCCTGATGCAAGTCGTCATGCATGTGACGTGCGTGACATCATATGCACGAGATGTGCATCACATACGTGATGTCAGCCCCCCCCCAAAAAAAAGTTGGCTGCAACTCGGCACCTATGCCTCAGTGTGTGCCACTCTAGTTATTATTCGTTATTGTACTGTGCCAATGAACACGTAAAGACTTGGATTCTATAAATTGTGTAGTGCTAATTTATACAGGGGCATTATGTACCGTATTTTTCCGTGTATAAGACGACCCCATGTACAAGACGCCCCCTACTATTATGGGGTACTCTGATTTAAGAAAATGGGGGGAGATGTATCTGTGTATAAGACGAGGCCCGATCTTGAACACTATTTTAGAGTAAAAAAAACCATAGTTTTATACAAGGAAATGTACGGTACTTCTGAGTTTCTGATGCTTTGATTCTGGGATCTGCTCCGGGCAATATGTTATGAGGCTCACTGCTGAAAATATATTGAGCGAGGGCCACAAGACTGGGCATAACAGGAGCCCCGTGGGGTGTTTCCTGCTGATAGGGGCAGAACTGAGCATGGCCATCATTCTGAATATGAAGCTGATGCAGAGTCAGTGAAACTGTACAAGAGCCAAATGAATGCAAGATAATGAAAAAGAGAAAGAAAAGTAGCAATTGGCTCAGGTGGGCAAAAGGAAGTCAGCTAAATGACTCAGATCAGAAGTATTTAATTTAATCTTCCTTGGCTGAGGAATTCTGAAATATTTCATTTAAGAAAGCCACCAAGGAGAAAATAATTATTAAATGTTAATGTTTGTAATTATTCCCCCAAGACATCTTTTTTTTCATTCTTGAATACACAGGCAGAAAAAAAGGAAAAACATAAGCAAAGGAAATAAATTGCCCCTGGCAGCAGCTTTCCTGGCTTCAAACAACATTCCCTGTGCCAAAGTTTGACCTTGCTTACATTGACACAAATCTGGAGTTATATACTGCTCTTTGATT